GGTTAAGTTGGATATACACTAGGTTAGTATCACAACCAATAGCATGGACATTTCAAAATTTAACAGGATCAGAGCCTGTTAATATTATTTCAGGAAAATGGGTGAAAATGGATAAATTGAAAGAATCATCAACTAAAATTATCCAACTTCATGAAAAAATTGCACTAAATCAGATTTCTGATAATCTTTATACACTTGCTACATTTAAGTCAGAGTTTGCAACTAAAATAATTCCTGGTTCAGTGCTTACAGATACTGACATAAAAGTGTTAATCACTTATTTAGAATATGATCGTAAAGTCATTGTAACAAAAAATTTGAGTAATGAATCTCTTCACAAACATGATAGCAATCCTGATGATTTGGTGATCAAGTTTTGTTTGAAAAAAAATAATAATAAATTAAAACTTGAAATTACGGAATTGGATTGTAATATTATTACAATAAAAGAAACATCACGGAAACTACTCGAACAAATTCAAGATATAGAAACTCGAATCAAAGAGTATGTATTTTCGAATTAGTGAATTATTGTGAATTATTTTTCCCTTTTTTTTTTGACAATTATTTTTATGATTTTGATAGGTTAAAGACAGCCGCTAGTAAATACATTTCTCTTAAACAGAAAGCACTAGCAATGAGAGATTTGCGAAAAAAACTACTACTTGATAAAATTTTAGTTAAAAGAATAAATTCCTTGGAAACAGTTGAAACAATCCTATTAAAAATTCAAGAAGCTGTATCTGATGCAGAGGTAAAAAATTTTAAAATTTAAATTTCCTCCACATTAATTTCCAATTTTAATCGATATTTATTTCTCCATTCATCCACACCAAATAAAAAGATAATTGAAGGTTATAAAGCTGGGGCTGATGCATTGCAAAATACATTGGCCATAAGTGGTCTAAGTATTGATAAAGTAGATGAAACAATGGATCATCTACAAGAAGTTCTTGCAGATCAAAAGGAAATTGATGATGCTATGAAATCAGGACAGGATTCAATACTTGATGCAGCATTAAATAATGATGTTGACGATGAATTAGAAAAAGAATTAGAGGATTTACTAGCTGCAGAAGAAGAAAGAAGGGCGCTGAAAGAAGAAGTGAAGCAACCAATAAAAGTAAAAGATCAAGAATTAGAATCATTAGAAACAAAATTACATGACTTGGAGGTTGAATCACCACCTATACCAGATAAAAATCCCAATTATATTACACCTTCCTCTTCTTCATCATCACACAAAAATAAACAAGCAATTTTGTCAGAACTATAATTTTAATTTATTTATATATATAATTGGTTTAAATTTTTATTAGTTTTTAATAATAATTTCTATAAAAACTTCTATACTTTAAAAATGAAATCTAATTTTACGTTCCACCACTCATTTCTGTATCCTCTTCAATTCCTCGAATATATAGAACATTATTACATCTATTATATATTATATAAATTATATAAGTGATAATTGAAAAAAAATAATACATATCTTTTTTATATGTTTATATTTATACCACCTAATCAATACTTCACCAAGTGCACCAGTTGAATTGCCATCGATAAATTCTTCTGTGTTAGCAAGTTGTATATTCATATAAGAATCAACCGACATCAAGTACCCTTTATATTCCATGCCCCATTTCAAACGTATCATAACGGGTTTACCTGTTAATTCTTGTAAAAAAGGTTTTGGATTTACTGGTTGAAACTTATTTTATATAAAATAAATAATTAAAAGATGATACAATTTAAACATACTAAAAAAAAAAAAAATGAAAAGAAAATTTACCGCCATTATTTTCTTTTTTTTTGATGATAATTGGATACGGTGTGCATATCATCTATATCAATCATTACAACGACGATCATCACCATAAGGTCTCTCAAATTTGTTTAACCCTCAAATTTCCGACTCAAGGAGCCCATGGGAATGAACAGTTTTATTTTCTTCTTCATTTTTAATAACAATCTAGCAAGTCATAACACTTTAAATGATTGACTGCTTTGATTAGTAATTACGTAATAGAATTTACGGCATGCCATCGAAAAGGCAAATATTTTATCCATACACATACAACAAACTCCACTAAAGAACACAAACTTTAACTGTTTGGTTGTGAGTCGTCTCCATGTTTCAGTCTCTGCTGTAACCGTTCCTTTTTTCTCTCTACGCTCTCTCTACTCTTTTCATTTGCCTTTGTTGAATAAATAAAAAAAGGCCATCCCGCTTTCAAGTACGCGCGCCGTCGTTTAACAACAGCAGAATTGCAGAGCCATTTCATATAAGGAATGAAACAACATTAGCTGAATTTGCTTTTGCGAATGTTAATGAACATAATAATAATAATAGCCATCTTTGACGAATAAAAGTTGCAACCTTTTTTTTGGCATTTTTTTGTACTTGTACATGATGAGTTTTTTTTTAGAAAATGGCAATAAAAGTTTTAATGAACAAAACCAAATATTCATGGTTCAAATAATAATAATAATAATAATAATAAATCTGAAGAAGCTATTATTAATAGTTTATTAACCTGACATTCATCAGAATAACGTTATTTTAAAAAACATACCAAAACAAATAAATAAATTTCCAAATTCCACCAGTTATATTATAAAGTTGGTTTCTAATAGCCACTATAATTCTTATAAAAGAAAAAAAATAAACTTGGACAATGAATTCAATTGACACAAATAAAAAAATTGAAAAAAAATTGATATTCCAAAGCAAGTATTTATAAACCCTCTTAATCCAAAAAAAAACAATGCCTTTGTTATTAGTAGGCAATGAAAAATAATTTTAATTCTAAATTTATAGCTTTGAAGAAGCATTTTATATCATTATTGGAGAAGAAGTCTTTCTATCAAACCATTTACGAGTCAGTAAGTGCAATGCAATTATTTAGTGATTAATTTTAGAATATTTTCACTCTTCACTCATCAATTGGTGATATTCGCTCCATAGAGAAGCTTTCATCTTCTTTACCTTCAATTGGATGAATTATGCACATAAAGATATTTCCATATAATTTAAGCTTCCACCTATCTACTTGTGGCATAATTCTAGATGATTTGATTAAGTCTTAAGTGATAGCCTTTATTTTTTCAATTAGAAAACGTCATGTTGGGGCAATAAAAATATTTTAGAATCAAATTTCTGAGAATGCTGTTTAGCTTCCCAACTTTCTGCACCACATATGCATAATAAATAATCTTATTGAAATATAATCTTAAACGCATAAAATAAAATCATAAAATCAAATCAAACTTTTGATTTAATACGAGTGACAAAATAAAATTATCATTAGCATTTTCCATTTCCATTTTATATTAGAATCAAATAAGATCAAAGATCAATCGAGTTAAACTAACCTATTACACTTTACAGGACTGATAAATAGGAACTGTCCCATGTATATATATACAGTTATATATATATATATATATATATATTGCGTTACCGGGTTGACCATTGCTTCTTAAAACAAATAATTATTGCTATTGCAAAATTAAAAATTGCAACTCAATCAAGATAAGAAAAAAATTTTATCATTATAAATATCAATAATCATACTTTTAGACTGATCTAATTCCAAATTTTCTTCACCGCGTTTAAATTACAATAATCTAAAATATATGCATATTGTGATATTTTGAAATTGCGTTTACTTTATATACATATTATACATTGATTTTTATTTTTATTTTATTATAATAAATATAAAAATGCAAATACTTCTATTTCTAAAACAATAATGTTGTTTCGTTCCTTATTGGCAACAAGATCATTCACCTTGAAAAAAGAAAATTAATTTTACACCAATAGACCAGTATCATCGTCAACCTTGGTTCATTCGTTTATTCATTATTAATTTGAGTATTCGAATTACATTGAAATTTTATTATAATTAGAATAATTTTTTTAATTCGAATAAAATTAATGATTCGAATAAAACTAGCAATTCGAATAAAATGAACCATAATAATAATAATAATAATAATAATAAATTAATAATATTAATTCGAATAATCCAATCCAATTAAAAAATTATTCTTTATCGATCTATTTTTCCTTAGTCCTTGAATATAGTGATAAAAATAAATAGTAGTAGCTGACATTTTCCTTAAATCATAGTACTAGCAATTATAAGAGTAATATAGATTATAAATATAATTATTGTTTATATTACCTTGTTAAAGAAATAAGACCTAAATTTTATAAAATGAATAATCTAGTAATTTGAAAACGGATAAAACGAATAAAATTTTTAATTCGAATTAATATTAAAGATTGACTGTATTCGAATAAGAATTTGTATTGCAAATAGAAACCCTAGTTCAACAGAGCCAAAGAAAATGTAGGAGCTGTTTAAACAGTATAAACATGGTACATATTGATTTTATTAGATATTTTATATCTGCAAAATAATTCTATACTAATATCGTGGATTGTATAGGCGATTCAAAAACAATCGAGAACACTGAAGGAATTATGGTTGAAAATAGATCAAGGATTGGGGAATTTGGAAATGATCACCCAAACTGCTCCGGAATATTAGATACCGAATTAGAACCAGTTTCCAATTTAGACAAACTATTTTACGAATCATTTAAAGTAAGTAAATCATGTCTAGTATTAGGCGCTTAATCTAAAAGGCTAAAATATATTTCTAGAAAAGGGATAAGCGGTATTTAGTGGAAGAAGATCAAGATTTAGTTCATTGTTCCTGGAAATTTGTTCGCAAGGAGAACGTCATTGAAAACACAGGAGAGCCAATTAATGTTGTTTGACGGAATGTTTCCAAAGTTGTAAAAATATTGCGTCAAATTTGCTGCCATTAAGTCAAAAATGACGCAAGTAAAAATGCTTTAGAGGCTGATAAAATATAAAGCTCATAAAAAAACTTATAAATATATATTCCAGGTCTTTTTTATATTTTCTTGTGTGTCCCAATTTCTCCTTTGTTTCATCAGGACCAAGTTTTTCTTTTGCTGAATACAATTCAGTTCCCACACATTCATTTATTACTAAACTCAAGCATTACTTGTATTACACAGTGAATTTCGATTTGGCGGATGTCTAATAAAAATCTCGATTTTAACGAATTGAGGCTCAGAACTGGGCTGTATTTTTATAGTAATAGTAAATTTTCTCGATATAACGGATGTACTAATTAAATCTCGATTTAACGCATTTTGAAATACTAAGTGGCTAAATCGAAATTCACTGTGTAATATTAATAACGTGATACATGATCAGTAAATAAAAATTTTACGCAAAAGCTTTTTATAATATCAATATTGATCGGTTAAGTTACTTTGCAACAATAAGCCATCTTTATCTTTATCCTTATTGTAGTGATCAATGAAGAACGAATTTTGGTCGGTCCTTGCGGAGGAAAAGCATAGATAATTAACATTCTGATAAAATAAAACTCTGTTATTTTTTATTAAACGTTAATAAGCTTTTAAAATAAATAAAATAAAAACGTTGGTTTTATTTTTTTTTATTTAAAGCGCTTTGATAAAAGCAACAAGTGTAGTTCCAGTTTGTAAAAGGTAACAATTATGAAGTTGTTTACTTTGATTGGTAAACAAGGTTAGGATTAATGTTGGTTAACTAATGGGTGTTAATAGTGATTAGTAACGTGATTTGCTTTAGTGAACAAGCAAAGGTTTGGATAACAGTGGGTGTTAATGAAGTATTGTCCAAAGGTTAATCGGAAATACTGGTAGTGTTATTGTAATTGTAAATGTAAGGCTGTTAAACAAGCTACTTAAGTTGTTTTGCAAGTAAACCAAAGCGAGTTTGCAATCGATCAATAAATCGAAATCCTAGAGCTTTGTAAAAGGTCATCTTTATTTATCTGGTACCATCAAATGTACCCACAGATTCGTCGTAAACCAATTAATTGACAAGCACCAAATTATTGCGAGTTGCCTGCATAATCAGCCATACTTGTTAAATAATCAGTATTAACTGAAATGATACCTTGCAATATAACTATTTAACAAGAATCAAAAAACTGCGAAAAATTTATTATTTAGCTTTAAGAAATAAAATAAAGATAAATTAAAAAGACAAATAATTATAACAAATAATTTAGGGGATTAAATTGATCATTTATTGATTCAGAATCTAACGCAATCAAAAAAATATTGTTAGTAATAATTAACAGATAGTAAGTTCCAATTAATTAATTAAAAATGAAATTTTTATTTACCTTCAACATTCTAGAGGAGAGAGTTAAAATCAAGGCTATTCAATGAACT